ACGTACGCTGTCAGTTCTCTCTCAGGTTCCGAACAGCCAGCTCCAAGGATTCAGTGAAGGAAACTTACTTACACTTACCTCATTGGCATTCTCTGCAACACAGGAAAGTAAGACAGGAATATAAACTCAAACCCTCATTACCATACATTTTATTCTTACATTTCAAGTCCATGCTACTTTTGAACAACCTAGTATCTTGCAAACTGGACAATTTCAGATTCTTGTAACTAACCGAGCGTGTGTTTTATGATCAACTTAAGGGCTGCTCACATCAAGCCCACTGAAGAAACTGATTTTCACACAGACTGAATGCAAAAAAAACTATTATGAAGAGGTATTTCCACTTCCCCCTCCTCATTACTGTAAAAAATGATGTGCAGCGGAATAATGACACACTATTCAATGGAAAAGAGGCAAGTATCGAAAAACTTGATTGCAAATTAAATCTCACTCTCAGTTTTACTCAGGCAAAAATACAGAAGGCATAATTATCAAAAAGTTGTCATTTCAGGACAACAGCAGTAAGGAAGCAAAATTCATTTTAAAAGTGTACTTTGTAAAATGCAAGGATTTAACTACTCACTTGTAAACCACACTGTGCTTATATTCTACAGCGTGTAATTACTTCTTATGAATATTTTCTCTTCCAGAGCAATCAACAAAAAGCAACTACTCTACCGTTGCAAAATCCACCAGGAATTGTGCTCTAAAAAACAGCTAACAAAGAAAGAAATTTGGGATTCTAACCTAGGAACAGAGTGCAATACGCAAGTGTGAACTTCCTATCTATATATGAAAATGTGTTTTCATTCCAAAATTCTAGATCTGAGTAGTACTTTTAAGAAGAACTTGCCATGTTTGAAATTAGCTGTGGAACTAAATTTAATCATCAGTATTTCAAAGACATCTGTATGCAACAGGAAACGAGAAGAAAGTTTTAATTTTAAATATTCAGAAGAACGATGCAAAAGCTTGCTATGAAAAACTACCCCAAAAAATGGGAACTATTCAGGAGTCAGACAGATAGCAACAGGAAAAGAAACACAAAAGTGCTCTCGCGAATTGCTAGGTGCGACCTTATGCATCTTCTTGGTTTCCAAGGTCTGGCAGGAGATGAGGCAGGCAGAGTCTTTACACAGTTCTGAAGTACCAGCTCCACGTACAGAAGGGCAAATAAAAACCACACACTAAAGCACAATCTACAATAGGTTGCTTATCCAACTCTTGAATTTTATTTCCCTTTAGCATACCATAAAAAAGATTCTTGATTTGAGTTTGGCAAATGTGGTAACTTACCAAGCTTCCAAAAACTACAGTGGTATTTTAGCATACTAAGAAAAAAATGGGTATGTGCAGTTCAACTGTTAACAGTGTGTATGATATAAAGGTTAACCCAGCTACAGCCAAGCACACCGAGTA